AGGAAACCTCCTTCGACGGCTTTCCTGCATACCTGTTCCTTCGAGCAAAACCTTCTGCATGGCCTCCAACTCAATTACCCTATCCTCCATCTCCTGCAAATACATAATTACGAAATTCAAAGCTGACCTTAGCATCATACCTTAATACCTACAGAAATCCTTCTTTCTTCGAACATAGAGACCTTAGTTCTAGCAACAGCAAACCGCAGCTTCGCCAGCTCAATCCGTACGTGTTCAAAGAAATCTTTGGTTAATCTGCATCATCAACATGGGGTTTCATCAAGTATCAGTTCCCCAAATGTCACCGTTGAAATGAAACTCCCCTCCGGTTCCAGAATTCAGAATAAAAGGATTAAGATCGTCATCAAGCATCCAGAAAAACTCACCGCGGCCTCAACCTCGCAATCTCAAATTCAATATCCCTGGCTTCGGTTTCAAGAAAGTATTCCACGAGCCCCTCCTTGTTTTCCGGTGGCATCCGTGCCTGAAAATAAGTGCTAAGAGGCGATTTCTCCCATAACGGTAACTGAAACGAAGTGAGGAGGAAAGGTTCACCTCCCTGCGGGCACGAAGCCGCTCCTTCTCCTCGCGCACCAGATGGCTGAACTCTTCTCTGACCTTGGCATCCTTCTCCAGCCGTCGCCGGAACTCCAGCCGCGCTATGTGGCCGCTCTGAGGCGGACCCAAGACACCCTCTGGATCCTATATGAAAAATGCGAAAAGATATGAAGATAAGGTCACGAATGGGAAGAGGGGATGGTGGAGAGAAAGGAGAGAGCCACCCATCCGATGCAAGAAATCCCTATCCTGAATGGTGGTTTCATCGACTGGGTTCTATAGCAGGTAGGGACGAAGGAGCCTGCGAATGCACCGCCGAGCACGGCCATGTGAGGCTTGGAGAGTGAAGCAGAAAGCGTCGCTTGGCAACGTTATCCGTTTCGTTTGAAGAGCTGCAACAAACCGCTCAGTAATGTTTCTGTCTGTTAGTCAGCAAAAATTATTGCTTGCGGTGTCGGATCTGGATCGTAAATCACCTGATCCACAGTCCCGATGTATTTCGATGGGCCTCACCTAAAAAAAATTTAAAAAAAATGAAAATAATCCTAACTGTAGATCACCGTGATCTACGGTCGGGATCGGACACCGCATGTACGCAATAATTTCTCGTTAGTGAGAAGTAGTTTTAAGAATTGAAAAAAAAATATTAATTTTGATGATATTGAAATATTATTTTAGTGATATTGTAGTGATTACCGTCACAATATTATCTTAATTCTACCAATTCGCACATGTAAATATCACACGCAATATTTGCTCTAACAATAGGAAAGAATGAGCGCGATTCGTATTATGATGAAGGGCAATTATTCTGAACTTGTTAGAATCTCACGTAAAACAAAGGAGGGTTTACATGCCTCCTACTAAAAAAATTTGAGTTATATATTGAACATCTAAACTATTGTATTTATATTTGTGAAAATTTACATACGTAGCATCAAAAATTTTAGGATTTGCGTAACTCGCACTCAAATTTTGAAATTTACGTGTATAGCGCACAAATCTACTTGTATAGCTCACAAATAGCACTTTGTCTACTCCAGTCTTCTATTCTGCTAAAATTTCCACACAAAATTCTTCCTTCTCTTATTGTAAAACGTAACCCTACTCCTTCCAAACTATGATCGCCATCCGCTCAAAGCTGCGTCGACTTCTGATTTCTCTCATCCACCCGAACCAGGTGATTGCTCGCACTCATACGCTCATACATTTTCAAAGAAAGCAGAACATTTAAGCAACTCATACCTTTTCATTGAACTCAGTGAACCAATCCTTTTGTTGTTTCCCACCATCATCAATATTCTTTTTCCTTTAAATCTCTCACCAAAACTCCACCCCACTTCTCTTCACTTTTTATACAATCTTTGATCAAATTATTTATGAGATATGCTTTTCATTGAAAAGAAACCATTCTCTTATCTACTTCAATTTTGGTTTGTTATTTTTCTATTCTTTGAATTGGAAAAGGGGATGCCAAAAGAAGTTTGTCTCTTAGGCTTTGTTTGAAGTTCCTACAAATGTCATTTGGCGGAACGGGCCTTATGTCTCGATTCTAAAACGATGAAAATTTGCGGTTCCGTTGAAATAATCTGAGAATACGTTGGTATGAGCTATTCTATCAAATGAAATATACATTTAGGCGTCTTCACTCAACGAAAGGGAGGGGCACTGTGTTTTTAAACGAAGCATTAGAATTTTTAATTCAACGGTCAATTTCATGCTATTTCTTTCACCTTGAGGCTTGCTCTTATGTAAGAACTCTACAATGAGAACTAGTGTTGGGTATTTAGAAATTTTTTATTGCTTATTATTTGATTGAAGAAAACCAAAGTATTTTTCTTTGTTGTAGGGGCATTGTGGTTTCTGTGAAGCCAAATTTGCTAGGTATTTCAACATTTGACACATGTTCTGGGATGATGTTCAATTTCTTGTATTTTTTTTCTTTTTTTTAAAAAATGATGATGAATGGATTTTTTTTCTATTCTTCGGATCAACATATGGAGTTATGATGGATCAATTTTTGCATCAAAAAACAATCAATTGGATTGGGGGAACTCTTCCATGAGGAAACACAATAAACTATGAATATATAGAAATATAATGACTTGGCAACCAAAAAGATATCATAATTTTCTTGATTTGACTTGAACAAAGCCTGCATTATTAAATAATTTGATATATTGGCCAAGATGTTAAAACTGGTGTATGAATTATAGGCATTGACCAACTCTTCTTGAAAACTAGACGAGATGAAGGGAATGGGTTAAAACTATTTAATCTACACCATGTTTCTTGAGCGTGTATTCTATTTGTTTGGTTTTCTTAATCTATTTATTGATTATTCTTATTAGTAATGATGTGTTTCATGAATATTGAATCATAGAAAAAGAGCTCCAGTCAGTCATCATCAATAAAGGGATCGATCCAATGCATCCAAGTGAACTGCAAGTATAACTTACAATGTGTTGTTTACACTTGCCACAAGAGACAAAATATTGGAAGAAAATGTTATCATGGCTCAAAGAACTGATCTAAAGATGATTGTGGATATGTCATGTGGTTGGAAGATATTGAAGTCTGAATGCATAGTATTTTGTGACAATTATAAGCTCGCGATGAAGTGATCAGAAAAAAAAATTACAGTTTATCTTAGCTAAAATAACTATTTTGATAGGATGTGTTTATATATATATATTGTTTCTTCATTTTGTGTGTTATTTTGAAGTTGTTTGAGTTGGCTAACATCGGTTTCACATTTTGGTGTCCAGTAAAGTATTGGTTGTAATCAATGACGATTCCACATTCGGTGTACATTTGACCATAATTTATATTATTTTTGTTGTTACATCCATGAAAGAAAGTTGTTTATAACTCTTTGGATTTGTTGAATTAAAAATAAGTAGTCAAATGTTGACAAAGAATTAGATTTGGAAAGACTATAGTCCAAGCCAATTTATGATTTTTTTTACTTGTTTTTTAGAAGGTAATTATTGTAAAGACCTATATAATGTTTAAAAGAAATGAAGCCAAAAAATTTAAAAATAAACGAGAAACTAATGTTTGACATCATAGCCAAACATCATGAGAGGTTTATTTAAGCTCATAGAAATCACATGCTCACATGTCTAAATGGAGGGTGTTGATGGCATGGAGCTAAGAGAATGACTTATTTTATTCTTTGTAGCCATTTGTAATTCTAATTAAAAAATGTGCTCAACTTTAATTTTAATTTACTATCCTTCTAATTTTTTATTTTAAAAAATCATTCCTGCCAGAATAAGACATGACATTTTCTTCTTTTGCCCATGCAATTAAAAATATGTGAACAAATCTCGCACAAATTCAAGTTATTGAGAAATTAAAGATAAAGATGGAAGAATCATTTGTGAGTATTTCATTAAATAAGTCAGGAAAGCTAATACGAACCGAAATGTTGTAAAGTATCAGCGAATCACGTAAATATATGTGTTTTTCAAGTAATATAATCGATCTTACGAGGAATAAGCGAACTCCCAAAGTGAAATTTTATAGCCCACTGGTTTTAAATCTAGCTTGAAGGTATGAAGTTCTGTGATTATGAAAAGTTACTAATCCTACTTTTAGAAATTATAAAACCAAAGCTAACAAGTTGAGAATTTCAGTGAAGTTTTCTGCTTGCTAATGAAATACTCCTCTGAATTGGCTTCAAAAATCTAAGTTCGATTGGGTGATTCAAATTGTAGATGACAATTATGATCACATCTCATTTTCCCCTCCTGGGCGACTTAGAAGGTTTGGAAATCATACTGGCTTAGTTCCCTAAATCAAGTGATTAGCTTAGGATTCCATATTTTCCCACAGGATTGCACTAATCTAGAAGGAATATCCATATTCTCCTAATCTAATGTGTTTTAACCTTGTCGCTCCACTAAAAATTCTTCTAAAACAATAAGATCACAACATATTTTAACTAACTATCCGACTCATTAAGTTTTTTTTAACAAGGAATTAAAGATTAAAACACCACCTCATAGGAAATTAAGTAAAGCCACACAAGAAAAACCAAACTAAAGATTCCTATGTCACAAATTCCAAATTCACAACAAATTACTCATGGTAACTTGCATTAAAACTAGTATGTCATGTAAATTAAAATTTAACCTAATTAACACAACGACCAATTTAAACTTAAAATTTGAAATCACATTTGGGTCACTTCAAATTCATGCAATCAGATAGCACAAAAAACGAATCTGATAAGAGAGAGATGCATATGGTAGCTTGCATTAAAACTAGGAAGAAATCAACTTGGACAAGCAAATAATATACAAAATGTTGGATTTTAGTTTGTCATTTATGAATCACACTCTGAGAGTTAGAACCGAGTGAAGGATAGAAGTAAGAGAGGGTAGAATAAATTTGGGATCTTTGTAGAAATGATTGAGGAAAATGTCCCCTTATTCGTATTTTTGCCCTGTAATTATAGAGGCGTGTTTTGTACAATTACAGAAAGAAGAAAATTATTATGAAAATCGTTTTTAAAGTCGTTAAGACTCTAATTAATTGTATAAATTTTATGTCATATTAGTATTTCAATTTGAATTTCAACATTGATAGTAATTGGTTGGTTGGCTGACTTGAACTCAACCAACTCAGGTGATCGACCGAGTGACATTTGTGCCCTCTGGAGTATCTGTTGGTTGCTCGGTATCTTTTGGCATGGTCTACCTGAGTGATCGGTCGTGAGACGGTCATTCGGTTCGCATACAGGGTCGGTCGGTCAAATATGATTGGTTGACTTTTTTCATAGTGAGTTGTGGCACATTTTACA